TTTTTAGATCATTTCAAAATCGAAATCTTTTACTGATGAAACCTTTACTTTATTTATAGCATACAATTTTTTAGAACACATCATAACAGATCGATTAGAATTTAAAGATTCATTTTAAAAATTGTAACACTTATAAGGATTAAACCGTCATTGTGTAGAATATAGAAATTCTACCTGGAAAATTTTGATATTGCCGAATACGTGAGAAAAGATTTTAATAACTGACTTGAAATTTAAAGAAGCAGATTTTAACGAGGAATTATATATAATATATATTGGATGTCTGATATAAATCTTTTCGAAATTCATAAAACAAAGAAACATTTCAAGAATTCTTTGTTGAAAATCTATCAAATATAACATTGTTCAATGTTGACAGTATCAATGAATGCTAAACAAACTTTTTATGCAACGATTGAAAGTGAAAGGAAAGAAAATTCGGTCGAATGATGGAAAATCAACGATTGATAAAGCATTGCGGGAAGTGGAAGGAAGAACACGTTTGAACTCTCGAATAGCAGAGGTAATTTGGATATCAGGTTATTGTTGCTTATTTTTCAAGAATTTCCAAATTCCTTAAATCGTCAAATTTGACCTACATTCTTCTTACTAACCTCAAATAAAGGCCAACTGTTTGGATGATAAAATTTTTTAGAGTTTTCATAGCCTGCACAACATGCGAAAAATAAAAATGAAATGAAAAAAATTTTGGTTGAAATATATTTATGTATGAAAACTTCTGATTCAGCTTCTGATTCTGATAAATCTTCTGTTTCTCTAACAGTTTTAATTTCATTCAAATCATCTTGAAATCTGTGAGAGCAATGAAACAATGTTATGATATGTGTGATGTTTGTAAATGAGATTGTTCAGACTATTACCACTAAATGTTGTGCAATAGCATTGTTGTTACTGTCTATTTGTGTTTGCAAGCATGTGAAAGTTGATGAAGTGCATTGTTTACATTTTTGAAGTGGTTTGCTGAAATATTTTAATTATCTTAATGGGAGTGAAAGCTCGATAGAACAAGTTTTAATGTGGTTCATAAGTAATTAATTTATTTTTTTGATCGAAGCTAAG